CTTTGTAAACCTCAAACGTGAAACTTCTCATGTACCTATTCTGGCAGTTGATTTTTGATGCTTCACTAAACTCACCTGTTTGTGCATTGGAAAAGCCAGAAGGGATGATGAACAACAAAATTGCAATGAACATGGCAACTGTACCGTCAGTGACAAACCTGCAACAGATCCATCAGATATTTAGTTAGCCATGTTTTCATTTTTATAAAATCCAGCATATTTAATTTTATTCAAAATGAGGAGTAATGGTAGTACCTTTTTTTTTTGTTGAAAAGATTTGTTGCCCAGCCTGTAGTAAAACCAGGATCTCTTGTAAACCAGAGCACTACCAGGAGTATGAAGAGGGACAAAACTGCTATTTCTGCAAATGTCATTCTGCCCAACTTCCTGCTCTCTTCCTGGATGACAGCATAGGCCTCTTTCTCCTTAGTCTTTTCTGCGGCACTTGAAGTGCAACCAAAATTCTCCTTAAAACTAGAAGAAAATGGACAAGAAATATCAGAGACATTTGCCAGACAGCCTCAGTTAAGAATTCAAATTTTAGACTCAGTCATAATGTCTTTTAGATATCTGAATATTGACATTAAATATATTATAATCATAGCATTGGCAGTGACTGTGGGTACTAACTGAATTATTGCACCATGGCTTGCCAAGGTGATCAGAAGGAAGCTTCCTGCCCCAAAAACTCATGATTTAAATACAAAAAGAATTGTGCTATCTGAGCACATGGGGAAAATACTGTAGAATCACAGAACTGTTTGGGTTGGAAGGGGCCTTGAAGACCATCTCATTGCAACCCCCTGCCAAGGGCAGGGATCCCTTCCACTAGACCAGGACAAGGTCAGTGTGACTGACAAGGCTATATGATCACTAGGAAGTAAAGAGTTGCCAAGCTTTTTAAAATGACAGAAAATCAGAATTTTAAAGGAGGAATTTGAAAATGAAAATACCATTTCAGGTATTACAGCACTCTTGCTTTGTAAAACAAGGGAGGTTGGGGATAATACAAACTTGATAGGCTAACTATTAAACAGGTAGGTAATGTAAGCTGGGTATTGGGGGTGATTAGCATTGGAAATAATAGCACAAGACTAATCCTCTAGGTCTGAAGCAACTCTTGTCACAAAGGCATTTCCTGCTTTGAAGCACAGCAATCTCTTGGGACACGACAACAATGCTACAGAACAGGTCATATGCTGTTAGAACTTCCTTTTTGCATCTACAGAGTGTGTTTATCTGGGATTTGATCAGATTCCTCAGAGAAAAAGGTGCAGTATTTTAACAGACAAAGGATCACTTGTGCAATGAGTCCTTGATCAGGCC